AGGCTTCAAACACCAAAGGCGGGGGGGTGGGGGGGGGGCAAAGCGGCTCGGACAGGGTGGATGGCAGGCTGGGCTGCCCCTCTCTCGTTCGCCTGGACAAGCTCAGGTGTGAGAGCCAACTCCAGCCTATACTGACTGTGCCTCCCCTAAGCCGGCCCTGCCCCCGCCCACCTGTCTGTCCCTGCGTCTGTCCCTCACCCCTTCCAGACTGCGGCTGTGTGCACGGGCTGTGTGACAACCGTCCCAGCAGTGGAGGGGTGTGCCAGCAGGGCACGTGTGCCCCTGGCTTCAGCGGCCGCTTCTGCAACGAGTCCGAGGGGGCCTGTGAGCCCACGGGCCTGGCCCAGCCATGCCACCAGCAGGCCCGCTGTGTCCTACGAGGGGGTGTCCCCAGGTGAGGACCGCCTTGGTCTTGGCCCCGTCCGTCCGTGAGCCTGCTCGGCCTCTGCTAGCGGCTCATTGGGGCCCACCCCTGACCCCCAGGTGTCTCTGCCTGGATGGCTACGAGGGCGACGGCGTCTCCTGCTTACCCAGCAACCCCTGCTCCCACCCTGACCGCGGCGGATGCTCCGAGAACGTCAGTCTCCCCGTCCGGCCCACCCTCACCATGCCCTGCCCTGCCGGGGGGAGGGGGGCCTCCCGCACTCAGAGCCAGGGGGCGGTGGGAGGCCGGCCTCTGTGCCCTCTGCCAGTGACCTTGCGTCATCTCTTCCCCCACAGGCTGAGTGTGTCCCCGGGGCCCCAGGCAACCACAGCTGCACCTGTAACAAGGGCTGGACTGGGGACGGCCGGGTGTGCGTGGCCATCGATGAGTGTGAGCTGGATGGGCGGGGCGGCTGCCATGCTGACGCCCTCTGCAGCTACGTGGGGCCCGGGCAGGTAAGGCGGGCCTGGGTCCCACCTCCCAGTCTTGGGGATCTCTCTCCCTGCCCCGCTGAACTCCAGGAACAGCCCCCCAAGGACGTGAGCTCGGAAGCCAGTCCTAATCTGCTGGGTCCCCCTATCTGTCCACTCATCTGTCCACTCATCTGTCACCCGGGCCCAGGGGGCCCCCAGACCAGCCATAACCTGGTATTCCCGGGCGCTCTCCCATCCCCGCACTAACCAGGACTGGCCCTGTGTAGTTTCTGAGATGACATGAGACCAGGACTGTTGGGGTGGGCTGGGCACAGGCCCGTCTTCCACGCGGTCTCTGCTGTAGACATAGGGCCTGCAGAGACCCTGCAGGGGGAGTGGAGGCTGGGGGCTCTTGGAGAGCCGGCCTGGCATGCTGCCGTCAGGGTCCTCCGTGGGGCGGGTAGGCTCAGCAGGCCTCAAAACCCCTCAGACCCCGAAAGCTGGAGCACACGGAGCCCATCAAACCCACTGCCGTCCAATCGATCCCGACGCATGTGCAGTGAACCCCCTCCCCCACAAGTGGCATGAGCCATTCCCACCCCGCGGCGGGGTTTCCAAGGCCAGAAGTCGTTCTTCCTGAGGCAGCCTGTCTCCTCTCTCCAGAGGAGTCAGGGGCTGGTGGGTTTGAACCCCTGGCCACCACCACTAGCGCAGACCCCGTTAGGAGCCTTACATCCCAGAAGCTCCGCCTGGATGGGCAGGGTTAGACTCTCCCCAACTTGCCAACAGGCCACCTGGGAGCCGGGGCCGGGTGGGGTGGGGGTGGTGCCCCAGGTCACTCACCAGGCCAGGTGGTGCAGACAAACCCTTGAGCACTTGGCCTTGAGCAGGAGCGGTCAGAGCAGAGGCCCCGGGAGGGGGGAGGGGGAGGGCAGGGGGGAGGTGAGGATGGAGGCCTTGGCAGAGCCTGATCCACTCGGCACAAGCTGTTGACTGGGCAGTGGAAAAGAAACCAGATCAAGACCCCCTCCCCCGACCTGAGCAGGTCAGCGAAGCCCAGGGTGCTTCCCCACTGGTGTCCCTCGAGCCAGTCCCCTCTCAGGCCACAGTGTCCCCACTTGGAAATGGCCCTGCAGGGCTGGGGACGGAGGGGCTCTCTGGGACCTGGGCAGGCTTCAGAGAGCCGAGGGGTGGGACAGGGGAGGCCGGGACGCTCCGGTGACACGAGCCCCCCCCCCACCTCCTGTTCAGAGCCGGTGCACCTGCAAACTGGGCTTCGCGGGCGACGGCCAGGTGTGCAATCCCATCGACCCCTGCCGAGCTGGCAACGGGGGCTGCCACGACCTGGTGAGGGGAGGGGCCTGTGCCCAGGCTGTGGCTGTCTGTCTGTCTGCATGTCTCTTCCACAGGGTGGGGAGCCCCCTGACCCCCTGGTCTGGTCCCTAAGATAAAGCCTTCACCTCAACCCTCACTTTGGCCGAAGGCCCTGCTCGCTCCTCCTTGTTCCAGCTATAGAGCTGCTGCTGACCCTCACCCCCACTCCTCCCCTTTGTCACCCTCCAGCCAGGCTAGCGCCCCACCCCCACCCACCCCAGCCAGCCTCCCTCAGGCCTAGCAGTGCCTCCTGGGCGTGCCTGAGGACCCAGTCTTTCTGTCCGTCATCCCAGGGAGGCTTCTTGCCCCTCAGATGCCCAGTGTTCTTGGAAGGCTGTGCCAGCACCCCAAAGGAGCCCCCGAAACAGACCTGGGGTGTGGCTGGGCAGGCAGTGGGCAGGGGCGTGGGGGACAGGGAGGAGGGTGTGCCCAGTATAGGTGCTGAGTGGTCTCTTTGCCCCACCCACCCCAGGCCACCTGCCGGGCAGTCGGGGGAGGTCAGCGGGTTTGCTCATGCCCCGCTGGCTACGGGGGCGACGGCCTCAGCTGCTACGGGGACATTGTGCAGGTCAGTTGGCTCGGCCACCCTTGTGCCCTGTGGGGATGGCTCCTTTGCTACGCCTCCAGGCCCGGGCCTTGACCCCGCTCTTCTTCTCTCCTAGGAGCTGGCGGCAAATGCCCACTTCTCCGTCTTTTCCCAGTGGATTAAGGTAGCCCGCCGCCCAGGCATGGCACAGGGGCCGGGGCCCCAGATCCAGAAGACCCCCTGAGTGCAGGGGCACCACATCGTCAACCCCACAGTGGGTGGGGGGGGCGCGGGATGCAGGGACCTGGTGGCTGCCCTCCTCACACTCCCCGTCCCCCTGCACCCCTGGTCCCAGAGCGCCGGCCTGACCCTCCCTGCTGACAGCCACGTCACAGCCCTAGTGCCCCCGGACTCCGCCATCAGCCGCCTGAGCTCCCAGGACCGGGCTTTCTGGCTGCAGCCAAGGATGCTGCCGCGGCTGGTCAGGTACTGGGGTGTCCGAGAGCCCCAGGCCTTCCCGGACCGGTGGGCCCCAGGCCCAGGGCCTCCCTGGGTTGCACTGACCTGGGCCTATACCCCCCACATTGCCCCTGCAGGGCCCACTTTCTCCAGGGTGCCTTCTCTGAGGAGGAGCTGGGGCGCCTGGCCGGGCAGGATGTGGCCACCCTGGAGCCCCGCACGCACTGGGAGATTCGCAACACCAGTGGAGTAGGTGGTACCTGCGTGGCAGGAGAGTGGGGCCCGTAGGGACCCTGAGTGAGGTCGGCCCTGACCCTGCCTCGGGCCTTCCCTGGGGGGAGCGGGTACAGGGCACGTTGTCAAGGGACACGGGGCCTGAGATGGCCTCCTGGCGGGGGGTGGGGTGGGGTGTCCATGATTGTAGACACAGACCTACCAGCCTCTCACCTAGGCACCCTGCTGCCGGAGGGTCCTGAGTCTGTGTGTGTCTAGGCCAGGCTGGGAGGCACCCGTGGGTGCCAGCAGCCCCAGCAGGTGGTCTACCTGTACGAGTGTCCACCTGTGGCTGAATTCTACCTGCTCCCTTCCAGAGGGTGTGGGTGCAGAATGCCAGCGTGGATGTGGCAGACCTCCCTGCCACCAATGGGGCCCTGCACATCCTCAGCCAGGTGTGTGCCCAGGGACCCCAGGCCGCTAAGGGGTGTGAGAATACTTAGCTCTGGGCAGGGCAGCTGGGGGGCGGCAGTGCACTGACAGCTCCCCCTCCACCCAGGTCTTGCTGCCTCCGGTGGGGGATGGGCTGCAGGGGCAGGGCCTGCTGCAGCAACTGGGGTCTGTACCCGCCTTCAGCCTCTTCCGGGAGCTGCTGCAGGTAGGAGAGGCAGGGTGGGGACATTGGGCCAGAGGCCCTGTGTGGAGGGAGCTGGCTGGCTCTCAGGGTCAGGACTGCGGGCCACACTGCCCACTCCTGAAGCCCGTCTGTCTGTCTCCGTCTGTCTGTCTCCGGCCTCTAGCACCATGGGCTGGTGGCCCAGATCGAGGCCGCCCCTGCCTACACCATCTTTGTGCCCACAAACCAGTCCCTGGAGGCCCAGGGCAACCGCAGCATCTTGGTGAGACCAAGGCAGCCAGGGGCTGGGGCGGCAGTGGCGGGGAGGTGGTGGGCGGGGCGGGGCAAGGCAGCTCAGGGGGGAAGTCCTGGAGCCCCCCCTGAGCTGTCTCCATCCCGCACCCCCAGGACTTAGACACAGTGCGACACCATGTGATCCTGGGGGAGGCGCTCACCGTGAAAGACCTGAGGAGAGGCGGGCACCGCAACTCTCTCCTGGGCCCTGCCCACTGGCTGGTGTTCTACAATCACAGTGGACAGGTGTGGGCAGAGGGGAGGGGCAACACCCCCCAACAGTGCCCCTCACCCACCTGGGAGCTTCCAACCTCTGCTCCAGGGACCCACCCATCCTGGGGGTGCCTCTACCCCTAGAGTGGCTCCCAGGTCAAGGGGGCTACTCAGCCTCCTCCCCGCCCCACCAGCCCGAGGTGAACCACGTGCCCCTGGAAGGCCCCGTGCTGGAAGCCCCCGGCTGCTCCCTGCTGGGCCTGTCCCAAGTCCTGAAGGTGGGCTCCAGCCGCTGCCTGCACAGCCATGCCCAGGCCCTGCGGGTGAGGAGCAGGGCGGCCTGGCCCAGGGGGGAGGAGGGGGCAAACGCCACCCTGGACAGGAGGGTCATTCTGCACCACTCCCTGCTCCCAGGAGAAATGCGTCAACTGCACCAGGAAGTTCCGCTGTTCCCAGGGCTACCAGCTGCAGGTGAGGCGAGTCCCTGCCCACTGCTGGGCCCTGCCTGGGGAGTGGGGGACAGGTGGGAATGGCTGCCAAGGGTCTCTGGTAGAGGCCAGGGGGCCTGCTCAAAGGAGGCCTGGTTCCCCCTTCAGCTGCGACCCCTGACCTCCATCCGGCCCCACCTCAACCTCCTCTCTGTCTGGGACCCTCCCTGACTCTGCCCTGTCCCTGACCAAACCTCCGGCCGCCCCTCTGCCTGTCCCCATCCCAGGAAACGCCCAGGAAGAGCTGTGTCTTCCGCTCTGTCACCGGCTCTCTGACGACCTTCTCCCGGGGTTGTTCTTACACCTGCGTCAAGAAGATTGAGGTCTGTCTGGAAGCCCCCAACACCGCTAGATCTTGGCCAATGGGAGCAGGGCAGGGGGCCCCAGAGAGGTGTCTCATTTTTAGGCCTGTACCATGGCTGGGGTTGGAGTCAGGTCGGGGAGGGGGGAGAGAGGCTTGTGGTCAGAGGGGCTAGGGCTTGGCCCTCTGCCTTCCCTTAGCTTAGCTCAAGGGAGAGAGGGGCTTAGCTCAAGGCTGGCCCAACAGCCCAGCCTGAGGGGCCTAGGCCTGCCCCTGCTGTAGGGGTCAGAGTTCGGCCTGGCCCTGCTGAGCCCCCAGTCTCCTGGCCCTTACCCCAGGGAGGGTGTAGAAGGCGCCCTCGGGGCCCCTTCCTGCCTGGACCTCTACGGGGACCCTGTCCTTGAGCTTCCTGCTCACTCAGTCCGAGGTGGCTGTCCCCTGCGTCCTGGCTCTTGCCGCAGCCCCACCCCCTGCCCCACAGGTGCCGGACTGCTGCCCTGGCTTCTTCGGCACACTGTGCGAGCCGTGCCCGGGGGGGCTGGGCGGTGTGTGCTCTGGCCACGGGCAGTGCCAGGACCGGCTGCTGGGCAGCGGGGAGTGCCGCTGTGAGGAGGGCTTCCATGGCACAGCCTGCGAGACCTGCGAGCTGGGCCGCTATGGGCCGGACTGTGCCAGAGGTGAGGCCTGGGGGCCCTGGCCGGAGGGCAGGGGGAGGGGCGCTGGAATAGCTCCCTTCTTGCTTGCAGCGTGTGACTGTGTGCACGGACTATGCCAGGAGGGCCTGCGTGGAGATGGCAGCTGCATCTGCAATGCCGGCTGGCGGGGACCCCGCTGTGACCAGAGTGAGGGGCCCACCGGTGGGGCAGGGGCCTTGATTGGGGGAGGCGGTGTGCCTGGGTCCTGCTGACCTGTACCATTCTCCCGCCACTGCCCATCTGCAGATGCCACTGACCCTCGGTGCTCAGCTGGGTGTGATCCCAACGCCAAGTGAGTGAGCCCCGGGGGCTGGGCTGGGTGGGGTGGGGTGGGCCAGGCCCCGCAGCCCCTCCCAGGCTGAGCCCCTGTTCCACCCGCCTCCAGCTGCATGCAGGACTCAGCTGGAGCCCCGGTCTGCATCTGTGCAGCAGGATATGCAGGAAACGGCACCCACTGTTCAGGTCCAGCCTCGCCCCGCGGGTGCCCTGGGCACCTTCCCAGAGCCTGAGTGGCTCTTCCCACAGACCACCTCCCTCCCTCTCAGTCCAGTCGCTACTGCCATCCCAGCTCTGGCCTGTCTCTTCCCCTGCCCTCCCTCTGACCCGTCCGGCTCTCCCGGTCCATCGACCCCAGAGGTGGACCCCTGTGTCCAGGAACACGGGGGCTGCTCACCCCACGCCAACTGCACCAAGGTGGCTCCTGGGCAGCGGACGTGCACCTGCCAAGAAGGCTACACGGGCGACGGGGAGCTGTGTCAGGGTGAGGGCCCCCCAGCGTGGAATGGGCTGTTGGAGGTGGGGGACTGCAGGAGTCAGGAGCAGGGGCTGAGTCTGTGCAGGTTCCAATGGGCAGGTGGAGGAAGGGCCGCTCCTCATGCCGGCGTCTCTCCTCCCAGAGGTTAATAGCTGTCTCTTCTACCGCGGGGGCTGCCACATTCACGCAGAGTGTATTCCCACTGGCTCCCAGCAGGTCAGTGGGGCAGGGCAGGGCCTCCCCTCAGAGCAGGCCTGGGAGTGGGGTGCCTCCTTGTCCTGGGCACTGGCCAGCCCTTGGCTCCCGGCAGCCCCACTGATCAAGAGTTGGGGCACAGGTGTCTTGCAGTTGCCATGAGGGGTACAGCGGGGATGGTGTCCGGACCTGTGAGCCCCTGGACCCCTGCTCCCAGGTCAGGCCCTGTACCATTTTAGGGGGGTAAGACCCAGCTTTGGTTGTCCACTGCAGGGCTCCTAGGGCCCCTGAAGACTGGGCTCAGGGGCTTGGGGGGCTGGTCAGGCTCCTGCAGGCCCCGTTGCAAGGCCGTGTGCAGGGTCCTGGGACCAGCCACGCCTCTGCTGTCCCCCCTCAGCGCAACGGCGGCTGCAGCCCCTATGCGGTGTGCAAGAGCACCGGGGATGGCCAGAGGACCTGCACCTGCGACGCAGCACACACCGTGGGCGACGGGCTCACCTGCCGTGCCCGAGTCGGCCTGGTAAACACGCCTGAGTCTGGCCTCTGTCCTGACCTTGGCTATGCACCTCGAGCCTGACCCGTGGTTTTGAGACCCTGGGCCTGACCCCAGCTGGGAACTGCCCCCGCCCCACCCCTGGCTTTCCTTTCCTCTTCTCTGCCGTGGCCAGCAGACCTTGGGCTCAAGGTGCTGGTCAGGCACCAGTCCTGGATGCCTCCCTCCCCCAAATCTGAGCTGACGCTCACTCTCCTCCAGGAGCTCCTTCGAGACAAGCACGCCTCCTTCTTCAGCCTCCACCTCTTGGTGAGTGCCCAGCCATGCCCATGCCCACGCCCCGCCCAGGTGTGCTACCTGCATGCCTGCCCACTCTGGGGGCAAGGGGTAGGCTGGCCTGGTGTGGGCCACGGAGGCTTCAAGTGGGCTCCAGGTTCCCCGCGGGGGAGCTCCCCTTCTGGGCCAACTTCCCCTGCCCTGTCCTGTGCAGGACTGCTCATTGAAAAGTGGGCGGTTCAAACCCAGCTGCAGCTCCACTGGGCAGTGTTGTGGCCCTCTCCCTCTGGAAGAGTGACAGCCCTGGAGTCGCGATGGGGCTCTCCTGGGGTTGACCTGTCCGGTGGAACCTCTAGGGGTGCTATGAACCGGGGTGGACTCCACGTGAGTGAGCGGGTTCGGTTTGATTTGCGTCTGTCCAGGAATACAAAGAGCTCAAAGGAGACGGGCCCTTCACCATCTTCGTGCCACACGCGGGCCTCATGACCAACCTGACCCAGGTAGGGCGCCCCGGAGTGCGGCTGAGAGGGGGCTGCGTGCCTCGGGGCGGCTGCGGAGCCGCCACGCCCCTCACCGCTCCCACTCCAGGAGGAGCGGGCCCGGATTCGCGCGCACCGCCGGCTGGTGTTCCGCTACCACGTGGTCGGCTGCCGGAAGCTGGGGAGCCAGGAGCTGCTGGACGCCCAGTACGTCACGGCGCTCTCCGGGCACCCTCTGCGCTTCAGCG